AAAAAAAAAAAAAAAAAAAAAAAAAAACACGTAGACACATGCAGTGATGCGCTTCTGCATTGGGCTAACTGCATCCAAGGCAGTAACTGCAAGCGTCTCGTGTACTCACACATTTCACCGCATGCTGCTACATCCCTACAATGACGAAGTAGCACATATGTGCTGTTTCATATATTGGGGCTTACGCAGGGGCGTATTCATAGGCCCACACATAAGTGTATATATATGTATACCCCCTGGCAATTGCGCAGTGGAGAATTACCAAGGAGAAGCTGCCTTGCTTTAGCGTTAAGATCTTTACAAATGTTACCCTCAATGAGGGTCGTTTTTCACACACACAAAAAAATAATAATAAAATAATGATACACCTGTTTGGCAAATATTTTATGCAGCGCTTTTTCTTAATATTTTTTTTTTTTTTTTTTTTTTTTTCACTTCATGTGAAGTGGCATGTAAGAGTTCGTTTCTGGAGGCCGGCCTCATACACATCAGATAAGTCCGTGCACCGCTTCGCTTATTCGCTGGTTCGCCGCTTCACCGTTTCGGCCACTGATCTATCTACATAACATGGCAGCAGGGTTCTCTTTTGCGCTTTTCTTTATTCCTGGCTCGATCGCATTGGGTATATAACATGTTTGGCATGAAGCGGTTTGCCTTAACTGAGTCCAACTAGGTTTTCTCCACTATCGGTTGCTCCATCTGCGATTGGTTCCATCTTTGCTTTACTTAAATTGGACCTGGGGTTTTTTGCCCCTCTTTGGCTTCATTCTCCTCGCACATTTCTCACGAAGGTTTTTACGACTGAAGCTTTCCTCCTTATTGCCCTCCCTCCCGGTATGCATTCACAAAGTGACTGTGTTGCGGTGGCTTCCAAAAGTTCGTCTTCCCCTGCTGCCGGTCCTCATTTCCCTGGCCCGCGCGTGCACAAAAATACCCCGCGTCCGCTTCACAAACTCTTCCAACAGCAGCCCTCTCGACGCCTCGGATAAATTATACAAGATTGACGCTTCGCTCTTTATTCTTTTTTTTTTTTTTTTTTTTTTTTTTTTTTTTTTT